TTGTTCCACTCCTTTAGCACTGATCAAAATACAGAAGGACTTAAAAAGGCCTGAACTACAACATTTGGAAACCGAAAAATTGTAAAAATATTGTAGATTTTAAAGGACATAATTTAACATATTAAAATTTAGTTACTTAATGATTAGAAGTCATCATAAAGCACAAACATTTGCAAGGTGCCCCACCCACACTGTAGTTCAGAAGGAAGAAATCAGGTTGTGAAATAACTGACAATTATATAAATAAAGCTTGCCAATGAATTATCTCCAAACTAGTCTTTGTAGTGGCTTTCTGTGAATTCTGGCTACATAGCTGCCCATTCTTACATTACTGTTTTTTCTATTTTTAACAGAAAAACTTCATACATCACTGGCTGCATTCTATGTTACAAGTTGATTTAAAGTCCAACAATACTTATATACAGTACATAGCAACAACAACAATTGATTGAAAATAATTAATTTATCTATTTTACATAAACCTGTCTGGCAAAGCAAGAAACTTTCCACTAATAGTTTTATTCTCCCTTGGGTTTTTCCTAAATATAGTAACTTGGAAAACCTGCACCATTCTCAATATCACTTTTTGCTGTGGCCTGACCATTTACGTAACAGAGTTCCATGATACAGGGTGTGGTAGGCCAATTAACTTATTTCAGTAAATGGGGATACATGTGTTTCCAGTTAAGAAAACTACCTCTTGAGGCAATGATACCACAATAGAATATAATGTCTTCAGCTTTAAACATATCTAGAAAAGACATTCTTTACTTTGGCAAGGAATTCTTAAGCAGTAGTGTTTGCTGTTATGCTTTCCAAAATATTTTTTTCAATTTCCATATTTTGTTAGCAAAGGCCTTTTTCTAGATGTTTCTCAAAATAAGTGGAATTTGAAACTCTCAACTTTATTCTCGCATCACACAGATATGCTGGATCAAAGCATTGGGCAATGGATACTTTATTTACACATTGCATGCAAGTAAGCATGGGCCATAACTTAAAGATATTGCCAGATCAATTTTCTTTAGGACCTTATCTGAAAAACTCAAAACACTGCATCAGAATATCCTTAGCCCCTACTTAGTCTCCAGTGTCTTGATATTGTAATACTGTTATTTTGCAGTCATTAAAAAAAAAAAATCTACCAAAAAAAGCAAAAAAACACACCCCACTCTTTCTCTCCCTTACTACATGTCTTTCAAAAAGAAATTCAAGAAAAACATCTTCTCATCTCCCTTAATGGAAACAAAATCCAGCATGCTTATGTGTATGTAACAAAATTCAGCTGTCTTTTGAAGATATCCTACTTCAAATGATACTAACTTTATAACACCTTGCTGACAGAGTAATAATAAAGCATTTTGTAGGAAAATAATCGTTAATATATAATTCCAGTAAAACACAAAGTGTTTCATGGTGCAATTCTGTACATGCAGTCCAATACAGTGGCGGAAAGGAAGAAGACTCAAAACAAACTGAGCAAAACAGGTAATGTATTTTAAATGCAAGTAGCCTTTGATATTCCAAGGTTTAGGTTTTGTTTAATCAAACTATCAGCCAGATTATTCCACATGTTCGTGAACTACAACTGGAGCTTATAACTCCAGTCTTGTAGTTGAACTATCCATAGCATTAGAACACCAAAATGCCAACAGAAGAAGAAAACTTCAGATAATACAAAAAGGTACTTTGCATACCAAAATTGCAGTATGAAATCAAAATATCTAAGTAGAAAACTAAACTACTTTTCCTTTTGTTGCTACACTAGTACCATTATTATAATAGTATCATGTATATAAATATATTCAGGGAAATTCTGAAAGGGTTTATTCTTATTTTATTTCCTCAAGGTTATTTTCATACCAATGAGAAATATTTATGCAGAAAGTAGATTACCAACACACTGAAAAAGGTTGCAACACAGAGGAGTGATCGGTCATCCAGATAGCTAAAACTTTCACCTAGGCTCCCATTATCCCCTAACTGGATTACTGCTGGATGAATCATATTTCACTGTCAAAGCCCTTCGCAACCTGTCGCTATTACTACATTCATCTTCCATTCGCCACAGAAATGCTGAACTGCCACTGTTAACTATATAGAGTCGACCTTCTACATTTTTAAAACAGTTTAGGGCCTTCTCCTGGCTTTTTTGCTCTTTGGGAGATTTTCTGAAAAATTTCACAAAGCTGTCCCAGCATCTTCCTTCAAAATCAGTTTTATTTTTTTATTTTTCCCCACAGAACAGGTGTTCAAGAATGTGACATTATTGCCAGAGCTGTTGACTAAGAAATAGATCAGCCAATCCAACTGCAGGTTGTCACTTCCATTCCACTAACAATAGGTTTTAGCTGATCCAATGGTAAGCAAATAAATAAAATAAAGAATAAACTTTAAAACCCCACCTCAAAAAACTCCCCAGACCTACCAAGCCCCTAAGCAGAGGTAATGCAAGCTATGTCACTTAACTAGCTCAGTCCGGATTCAAATTACACTTTAAGGAACATGAATGTGCATAAGTCTACATGACCTGGTCTGTGAGAAATGAAGAGAAAAAAAGAAAGATAGAAAATAAAAAATCAGTTAAAGGAATTATCATGTGTATATTATGGCATCAAATTATGAGGATGTAAGACATTTCTAGAGATATAAAACTGTGAAACATTTTGGAAAATATACTATGTATTTTATAGGAAAATTCTTTTAAATAGTCAAGTTAAAAAAATGGGTAGATTATTTACTCACCCTTGCCTTCCTTCCCCCAGTTTTTGCTATGGCATTCCCAGCTTGCAAATGTTTAGAGGAGAGTTTTCAGAAAGTCTCAAAGCAGAATACTGGACTAGGTCTCCACATCACATACTTTGAAGATAATTCTTTTTTGGGGGGTGAGTGGGGGAGGGTGTCATGATTTTTGGGGTGTGGGGAGGGTGGGATAGAGTTAATTTGACTTAGAAGCTGGTACAATGCTGCATCTTGAATTTAGTTTGAGAATAATGTTGGTAACACACTGGTGTTTCAGTTGTTGCTAAATAGTGCTTAGCCCAAATCAAGGACTTTTCAGTTTTCCATGCTCTGTCAGTGAGGAGGTGCATAAGAAGCTGGAAGAGTGTGGCCAGGAGACAGCTGACTCAAACTAGCACAGGGACATTCCACACCAATAGATAAATTCGTGGGAGTTCGTCTGAGGATGGGCTGGGCATTGGTCAGTGGCCAGTGTGCAATTTTATTCTGCATCCCTTGTTCCTCCAGTTTTATTCTTCTCTCTCCATTTCATTACTATTATCTTAATCATTAGCATTATCGGTATTTTTATTACTCTGATTCAATTATTAAACTGTTCTTATTTTGCCTGCAATTCTCCTCCCCACCCTACTGCTAGGCAGGGGAGGAGGGCGTGAGCCAGTGGCTGTGTGCTACTTAGTTGCCAACTGGGGTTAAACCAGGGCAGGTTGCAACTCGTGTAAAGCTGTGTTTTTAAATATGCAACTAATTGGTCTGTACATTTCATAATCAATATTCACAAACGTTTCCATCTGCCACAGTGAAAATAAAATTATCATTCCTCAGTCATAGAACATTTATATTCATGAGCAGTAAGTAAATATTTAGATTTCAGTGTGAAGCCAGAGGCATCAGCAATGTAAGCACATGGGCAGTCCCTTAGGTACACTCAACTTTTCTGAAGCATTCAAAAAACAAACACACGCTGCAGTTCTGCAAACACATGTATTTTATATACTACAGCAATACATCACATCAGCAGAACATTGCAAAATAAAAACATTGGAATACCTGACCCTCTGTGCTTTCCTTAAGCCAAGCCTTCAATTTAAAATGTTCTCTACTACATAAGAAAAAAGTAGCTCAAATGACAAAGTCCAGTAAGAAAAATTCCATAATTAGGAAGGGATCATTTGCATTAATATGCATACAGAGTGAAATTACTGGGTAACATTATTTTTAGCTTTAGCAAAGGTGAAAGAACATTAGCTATACACATGCAATCATATTTTCACTGCTAAGAAAAAAATGAATGCTTGAAAGACCCAAAGCATTCTTGGAAACTTCTGAGATGTTCCATTTAAAAACAATAAATATTTTCACAACTAAATGCGGAGTTTTCAACTTGATCAGATCTTAAGTACACAGCAACCATGACACCAATACTGAGGAAACAGCAAGCCTGAGGACAGCAAGGAGTTGCTAAAATGCATGTGTGCATCCACTAATTTTATAGGTTTTTCTTTAAATAATTCTCAAAACTGCGAAAGTCATAGATGAAATGCATAATAAATAGGAAGGCTACAAAACAGATCCTGTAATTTTGAACTTTCCAGGTATGGATTAATCGTTCAAGGAAGCGAAGAAAACCCACTGCTGAAAGAACCAAGACACGCTTCACACCAGCACTGGATGGGTACAGAAAGCAACTCAAGGTCCAAAGGGTCACACTCCCAGCACCATGAGGTGTTGAAAGTTTCTTCTTTTCCAGGTCGCCACCAGGTACCACGCCAGACTAACACGTATATATGCTGGCAAGGCCAAAAAAAGTTCGTAGATCGCACAAACCTTGCCGAGAAGCACTTACAATCGATATATCGAGAAGGAATAAAAAGCGATTTAAAAATGACCTCAGTCACAAGGACTGGCCAGACCTTTTCTCCCTCTCCCACGGGGGTAACACAGGAGGGCAGTGACCCCTCTCTCTGCCCCGCCGCGGTTTAACCAGCGGGCGCAGAGCGAGGGCGGCCCCAGCCCGCCCCGCCGCGGGTCCGAGCCGCCCTTGCCCTGCCGAGGCACTAGGGGAGGCGCGCGGGTACCAAGGGGAAGCGAAGGGAGCCGGGCCAGCCCCCGCCGCTCCCAGGGCCGCAGACGCGACAGCAGAGACCACAACAGCAGCGGCCGCGTCGGCAACGGCGAGGAGGGCGGAAGGGAAGGGGCGGGGAGGAAAGGGCGGACCCGCATCCGGGCGCGCCCCGCTCCCCGACGCGCTCACTCACCGATCATGGAGGCGGCGTCGACCCCGCGCGAGGAGAGGAGCGAGACGTGCGCACGCGCGCACGTGCCGGCCGCGCCCGCCGCTCCAGCGCTGCTCCTGTAGCCGCCCTGGGGGAGGGTCGCGCGACTGCGGGCGTGTTGGGCCGGCCCTGAACGCGCATGCGCCTCGGTGGCGGAGGTGGAGGCGCGCGCTGGGCTCTCTGGGTAGCGTAGTTCCTGGGCAGCTCACACCTGCACACGCTCTTCTCACGTTATCGCCTCGCGTTTCCGCCACACACCGCTAATGACTTTCTCGTTAATTGCTGTCCGCCGCCCCGGTGCACGGTGCAACGGGGGTAGGTACAGCTGTCCGGGACCGGGCGGTGCCGACGGGGCTATTTGTGATTCCCCACCCGCTTCCCTCAGGGTTGTTGACGCGTTGCCTGGCAACGGTGGCGTGTCCGGGGGACGGCGCGTTGCGGCAGGTGCCGAACGGAGCTCGGCAGGGCCGGGGCCGGCGGGGACACCGCGGCGGGCGGGAGGGCGGGGGCGAGGACCCCCGGGGGACAAGGACATCAGGTGGTGAAGGGCTGGACACGGCGGAGTGCGGGGGACGAGCTGGGATGATGCAGAAGGGGACTGGGGGAGAGGGGCAGGCAAAAGGGGTCTGTGAGGGCTAGGGAATGCGCGGGACGGGTGTGTGAGGCTGCCGCTGGTTGCGGAGGGAGAGAAGCTGGACCTGCTGCCTGCTCTAACTCGTTGGGCACGGGACGCTGATGGTCGCTTGTTTTTTCCAGTCCGTAACTTGCATCTGGTCCGTCGTGGGCGCCGGTGGGGAGATTGTAATGGAGGAGGGGCGCCCGGGTCCCTCAAAATCGGCCGGTGACAGGCGGCCCCAGCAGCAGGAGAAGAAGGACAAGCAGCAAAACAAGCAGCAGGCCTGCGAGGGTTTCAGTATTAGAGCCATGATGGAAAACAGCGTGGTATGTTTGCTGTAAGCATAGAGGTGATACTAATTAACTCAATTTGTCCAAGAAGCATAGCAAGTTAGAGCTGTGGATATAGCGTGGCAGGAAGGTGTGCAAGTTTCTAATACTTTGTCTGGAGTTTCCTGGTCGCTGAAATTACCCTGAGACTTCGCAGAAGTATTACTGCAAGTCGTGATGCTTTCACCAAGTGCTTTATTTTGCTGCCACTTTTTTTTTTTTTTTTTTTTTTTTTTGTATGGTTTTTTATTGGCAGTGCACATCCTGTTAAACTGCCAGCCTATGGAATTGTGTGTGAGGCTTACTGCCTCCCACTTAGCAAAATGCTGTCCAGTAGTCCAGTATTTCTCAAAAGTTTTCATACACAGGCATAGTATATAAAATTGATATGAATGTCACATAGATCTGGAAAGAAAATCTGGAAAATAGATTAATTGATTTTTTTAAACAAGCTTGGAAAATAACAAAAAGCTTCTACAGCATCTAGGAGAATACTAAACAAACAAACATTAGTTCTCCAACTTGTAGTTCAAAGACAGAGAAATTGATCCAACAAGTAACAGTCACAATTTCTAATGAACTTGGAAGCTTGGGAGTTAAAATAGTGGTATAAAGGCCCTTCAAATCTCTTTATACTGTTTTATTTGTCTACCTTTATCAGAATTTAGGCGTTAAAAGCTTTAACTAGTACAGAGTACAAATGTTCAACATGTGAGTGGATGAGGTAATATTACCACACATCTCTGCCTAAGCTCCTGAATTGTATTCTTCATTTGGACACAGTTCAAGGTGTTAGCAAAGGCTTGAGTCCTCAAGGGTTTTTTTAAATCCATAGAGTGTTCTGACAGCTGTTATGAAATACATTATTTCCCTTTGTTTTGCTGAAATAGTCTTCCTGGAGCAGTCTCTCTGATCTTGTTATCAAGATGTTATGTTATCAAGAAGATGTTAGCAAGAACATCCTCTTAAAAACCCAAACAAGCATGTCTTTAAAGAAATTTTAAATAGAGTGAAAGTTGTGTACTTGGAAAACTTTCTCCTATTTAGTAAAACTGCAACATATTTCACCTTACTTGGAAAAACACAAGGTGAATACGGCCAAATAATCTCTTTGTTTTAAAGATTGTTTGGTTTGTTTATTTTTATTGTAGAGATGCATGGAGTGAACTGTAATACTTCAGCAACCTTTAGGATTCATTTTTAAAATATGTTTCCTGTTCTCCGGAGAAAATTCAAGTAATGGATATTTGCATGTGGTTGTTTACACCTAGATATGTAAAAGACTATTTTGTCTAGAAGAATCGGCAGTTTCAGTGGAGTTTGAGAAACACATATTTAATTTATAAAAAGGAGCTGTGACTTGTGAACATAACTAACTATGAGTTTAATCAGAATTCAGGTTTCCTTTTAAATATTTATAGAGTATTAATTTTATGGGTGCATTTCTGACTTCCTAAACATGAACAGACCATTAAATCATGTGATACTGTTGTTAAGGAACTGCCTACAGGTAAATCTGCTGCCTTTGCAGCTACTCACAGAATAACAGAAATTATTTTCTTTGGCATGGACATCTGGAAATCATCTAAGCCAACTTTCTACTTGAAGTGGGCCTGTCACCAGCACCCAGATCAGGTCAGTGAGGATTTTCCTAGCTAAACTGTGAAACTCCCCAACATCAGGGATTGCCTGACCTCTCTGAGCAGCCTGTTTCATTTCTGCCCTGCTCATCTGCCTCCTTGCCTGCCCTCCCAGCGTGTCAGAGCTCAGGTTTACAGTATTCTGACCTGCTGCACATGTTCTACTCATAACTGGTTGGAAGCGCTGAAATTCTTAGTGGTCTTGAGAGATTCATAGTGCCAGGGCTATGTTTTTCAAGAGCTCCATCTGCGGTCAGGCAGCCACCAGAATAATTTCCAGTCAGTGTGCAAAAAAAGGAATATCTCATAGCCACACTCTTTGTGCTGAAGTGGGAGTTTCTTTTTACTTTTCCAACTACTTTTTAAATGGAGCTTTAGATTTATTAAGTACTCACTTGTCAGAGGTTGACATCTTTGATGAAGTTCTCATGGAAGGCTTGGGAGTTAACTGGAGGGTTGAAAGCACAGCAGGAATATCTAGTTACGACATGGTAATTCTTTTTGTTAACAGCATGATAAGGCATAGGGTTAAACGTGTTTGGCATCTCCAGGTCAAATAATGAGGTATTGATTAATAGTCTTTAGTGCAAGCATGTAGTTAGTCTTAAACTCTTAGTGTAGATTACCATTATGCATATATGACTGTAAATATTGTAGTAAATGTTCCAGAATTCTTTTCCATTGCATGGGCAATGAGTGTTTTACTAAGCTGTTTTTCATGAATGTTCCTGAATAAAGTCTGCTTTCGTAATTAGTAGTAAGTACAGAAATTAAGTAGATACTGTATTTAAGACTTTTTTCAGCTCTTGCTAAATCAAAAACTTGCTTAGTGAAATACAATGCTTAAATATTCACCTAAAAATGTTCCTGAACTGAATAAAGTGTTTAAGTTATTCCTAAACTTTAAATTTATATATAAGTTTAGATTAAAAGCAAGGTTCAATAAAGGTCTTCTATAATAACAAGATACATTACATTTTTATTGTTTTGTCCTCCGGTGGAATCAAGAATGTTATGTGCTCTTACTTCAGAGGTACTGCATGTAGAATTAGGAACACAATTAAAAATTAATGTAGAGACTAGTCGATATAGAAGTGTCTGAACATGAATGTGAGCAGCAGGAATATATCTCAGTTCATTTCTGATCCTCTCTAGATGATGTTTTCCTATTTTCTGCAACTGTAGAGAAGAGAATGAAGTGTTAGTGTCCCACTTTTCTGTAATGCATCAGTGGTAAAAGCACTTTTTCAAGGACAGGATTCATTTTAGTACTTAAAGGAAACAGTAGAATGATAATTCTCATCTATCTCCCAGTTTTTATAAGATTACTATTACATTCATGTGTTCCATGACATCAGTCAGAAATTGCCTTCAGGAACAGGCCACAGGGATAGAATGAGAGTGTTTACTAGATGGCATTAGAAAGGAATGGATGCTAAAAATTGCTTCTGGATTTCTAAAACCAAAGCAGCTATTCAGCCTTAGAGAATCTTAGCTATGTATAGGGCACAGCTTTCATCTCCTAAAAAAAGTGTAACTGCTCTTAAGCAGAAAAATGGTTATTTGTATTGCAGCTCTGGATTTTCATTCTTCTGTTCTACATTTAGGAATCTGCAGTCTATATGTATGGGGATGAGTTCTCAATGTTTGTACTTTAAACACTTCTCTCAAGCCATTTTCAGTAATGTGTTGTGAAGAGCTTTCTTACCCTTGACCATTTGAAAATAACTCATAGAAAAAGTTTCATTTTAACCATGATGTGATTTGTTTATGTTCTGAAATTTGTGATTTGTCATTATATTTATATTCATCCATCCACTGCAAAATCAAGACTGGTTTTGTTATTTACTTTGTAGCAAAGTTTCTAATTTGATTTTGGGAGTATAGGAAAGAATACAAGAAAAAAGTTGTATCTTTTGATTATAACAGCTAATTTATTGGAAAAAGCAGTGTGTTTTGGGGCAAATAGATGTCAAGTTAAAGGAGTGTTTTGATAGAGGTATATTGAGAAGTAGCACATCTGTCTTGGAGGAACTTCTCCAGTTTTACAATAGTAGTTGTGTACAATCTAGGAGTACATTTCAGTGAGCACTGCGAGACAGTTTAAGCTGTCAGTCTCCGGAAGGCAATCCTATCTTCTTCCTCTCTCAGGCTGTTTAGTACTGCTGCCCGTTGTGTCCTCATTTGTACAATGTTGGCTGCTCAGAGAGCTGATCCTGCTGAAAAAACTCCAGCCTGTTAAAGCTCACAGTGTTGAACTGCTGTCTGTGGGACTGAGGCAAGCAAGGCTTCTGCTTTAACAAGGTTCATCTGTTTTGCTCTTCTCCCTGTCCTGACTGCATGCTTTCATCTCTCCTTTTGCACTGATATTGTTTTTTCTTGTAAATATAGAGTAAGTTGGATCAGCTGTAACAGCTCTTAATATATGCAATGCAAAGGGAAGCAGGAAAGTGTCTGCATAAGCTGTTTGTGTGGGAAGGTACCCTCTTGGAAATATTGCAGTCTTAATTAATTTAAAACCAGTATGATACCAAGTTTTAGCAGGCTAATGACACAAGCATTTACAGCAGCATAAACTTGCACCACAATTGAAAGGTAGTGTTTTCATCCCTGAACATTTATTCTTTGTGCAATATGTACTTTTGTATGGCTTTGTGGTGAACTGGACAGGGGTCCTGGTTAAACCTAGATTAAAAGCAGCTCAACATATTGTTTTGTTTTTTTTTTTTTATTTAATAGCATTCTAATAGACATGACATACACTTTGATAACAGTATAAGCTCACAAAAGTTGTCACTGCTACAGCCCTGCCTGTGTCTGCTGCCTGTTTGTACCTTCTCCTTTGTGCCAGTACACAGTCATCCCACTGGATTGATGAGGCACTTCAGTTGCATTAGGTTCAAACATGAAAAGCTTCAACACAAGGAGATTTTTATTTCCCCCATAAGGTTAGATTCCTTTCCAATTCCATGCTCGTATTTACTGTAATGACCTCTTTGATAGTATAATGTAAAAGCACAATATACAGAAAAAATACTAATGCTTAAGACCATAATTTCCTCAGAAAGCTTCTATTTCATGAAGACAACATTTTTCAGTTTCAAAAATTTCTCTACTGCAAATGTAGGAATTTGGAATAAATTATTAAATTATAGTTAATAAGAATAGTCTCCAAACATGATTTTAAGCTGTCTACTTGCTGTGTAGAGAATTATCTAAAGTCAGCATTTCCTACATGCAGCTGAGCACACCTCTGGAGGTAATAAATTGAAAATGTGAAAGGGATGAGTTAGAATGCATCTACCATACATCCTTCTCAGCACTAAGTCTCCAGAACAGTTTCCAAAGAAATGGACA